TATCATGTGATTTAAAAAATATCGCTTTTTTTAATTTTTTTTCCAAGTGATGCATAACATTTGGGAGCCACTGTATATCTCTTATTATTGATACTTGTGATGGTCTTCATCCTCTATCGTTGCAGATACACCTCAAGGTTTTATATAAATAATGCAAGAATATTGGCATTCTGATCCAAAGCAAAGACCAATATTTGTAATTTTATTAATAAAATTATTTTGCATGAAGAAAAAAACCCAACTATAATTATAAAATCACCAAATATTGGACTTACAGAGGGTCTTCAAAAGTTTATGTACACTTTTTTCATACGAATTTTCTCAAAATTTTATTAAGTAATTAAGCAATTTACAAATAATAAATAATGTTCCCAGACTATTAAAATATGAATGCTATTATTGGTTTAATACTTGGTCAGACCACCATTTGCATCAATTACCGCCTGAATTCGTCGAGGCATACTTTTGACTAAATTTTCGATTTTTTCAGAGATAATTGATTTTCAAGCCTTTCGTACTTGTCGTTCAAGTGAGGAAAGGTTAGTGGGCTTTACTTTTTGACTTCGAAGGTTTTTTTTAATTTCATCTCATAAATTTTCGATCGGGTTAAGATCTGGGCTTTGCGCAGGCCATTTAAGGGTTCGGATATTTTTTTTGCACGAAATTCCGCAGCAATTTTACTTCGGTGACAATATGCATTATCCTCCTAAAAAACACCATTCCCATTTGGAAAAAAACACTTCATGGCAGGAACAACATACTTGCGTAAAGTTTCAATATGCACTGAACTAGTTATAGAACCAACTAAAGGGATAATTGGCCCTAATCCTTGTGCAGAAAAGCATCCCCAGAATATCTGACTTGGACTGTGTTTCACTGTCGCTGAAACACAAGCAGGTAACCATTCCTCAGATGGTTCTCATTATACCTGGCTGGTACGTGATTGCTGAAACTGGGAAAAGGTTGATTCGTCACTCCAAAGAACCTTTTCCCAGTCTTGCACAGTCCAATGTGCATGCTCTTGTGTCTATGCAAGTCTTTTCACCATGTTTTCAGGTGAAATGAATGGTTTTCACCGAGCTGCACAATTGTTTAATCTAGCAATATGAAATGTTCGACGGATGGTATGGGTAGAAGCATCCTGCCCTGACTTCTTTTTCCAAAGGGCTTGCACTTTACGGGTACATTTGCGGTGATTGTTTTTTTTTGTAACCAATTGTTTAAGTTGGTTACGATTTGGAGTTGTGAAAAGACGCGGTCGCCCAGAACGTGACTTTGTATCAGTATACCCGGTGGCTTTATTATACCTTCTTATACAAGTTGAAACTGCAGAGGGCTCACATCCTACAGTTACTGCAATTTTTCTTCATGAATGGCCAAGTCGATGTCTATAAAGAATAGCGCCTTTTTGGGACTCCGTAAGCTCTTTTCCTTTACCCATTTTTTTTAAGGTAAGGTTAAAAAAATTTTTTTTTTGGTTAATTTATGTTTTTTTTATTAGTGTGGGAAAATTCATACGGTTGTCTCAAATTATGAGTGCATAAACAAATTGTACGCGGTTTACGATGTTTACGAGGTTTGCGAGGTTTATGACGTTTGCGATGTTTGCGATAAGTTTAGATGAAAATGGTGGCCCGATCAAATAATAAACAGCTTAGTACGAAATTTAATTTATTATTCTAGGAACAATATTTATTATTTGTAGATCATTTGTTTGCTTAATAAAAATTTGATTAAAATTCGTACAAAAAATGTGTTCGTAAACTTTTGGAGACCCTCTGTATATTAACAAACAAACTAGCTACTAAATATTTAAGGAGTGTAATAACTTACCTAAAATCTGCAAGTTTAAAATATCAACAGCAAAAATGGCTTCTATTCTTAAACTTTCCGTCGAAAATCAATTGAATAATTAATTACAATACATTTTATTTTAAAGATCAATAAAAAGCATAAATTCGAAAAACTTAACTGAGAGTATTTGAATTATTCATTTACTTTACTTAAACCTGTTTCATCAATATTATATATTTGGTTTAGGGAATATTGACTTATTGACTTAATAGTTGATGAAGCTTGATTTTCTCTTCTGAAAGAGATACTATTTGTGTGCTCCATTTATGCGATGCCAATGAATAGTTCATTTATTAATGATGTATTAAATGAAGTGCAAATAATAATAGTCATTCTGATACTTATTGAAGTAATCAATACTTTTTTTTTTGTGGAAATTTCTCAAATTATTTAGACATTTATTCTACCTGTCCGATTTTGAAATTATACATGTTTCAAATTAAATTACCTCAGCATTCAGTCCTTTACTATAAATAACTTTTGTACAATACTTTATATCTTTTTAAAATCATCATTCTGGACTTCCTAGAGATTGAAATCGTTTAATTTTAACCAGCTAATTCTCCGGTTAAGTTTTATTATTCGTCGTTACAAACTATCAAAATCTCAAATCTGTTCACGTGAACAACTGAAAATACCAGACCGGGTCTGTGTAGCTGCAAAAATTTATTTTGTCCCGAGTCTCATGAAAAAGCAGTAACACATAGAATTGAAACATAGTAAATTGTTAATTTAAATATTGTTTATTAAATTGATATGTAGCGTTATTATTTTAATAAAAGTTATAATTAAAGAAATTTCATTACAACATTTATCAACCTAATTGGCCTTAACTACATCTTCACACATAAAATTGAGAAAAGCATATAATAATAAATTAACTTTTGTTAAAAAGACATGTACAATTGATTTACAAATCACTCGATCACACGAACAATCGAATCAACAATTAAATTTTTTTTCTGTAATCTTCTTCAATTATCCTGCTTGCTTTCCATGCCACCATGGCAACGGGAGCATTAGTATTACCATTCGGAATAATTGGAAAAATTGAAGCATCGACAACTCGAAGGTTTTTTGTTCCATAAACTTGAAGTCGATGGTTAACACACCCTCTTTGTGATTCGGGTGTCATTTTAACCGTACCGCATGAATGAAATGATGAAATTGTCTAAAGAATGAAAAATTTTCATTATTCATATCTGAAATATTTCCTTACATAGTGTTGAATATTACCTTTTCACGGATATGTTGTTCCCAATCTTCATCACTCATTTCATCTTTGAAACTACACCATTTCCCAAATTCATCATATGATCCAATTTCTTTTATACCCCATACTTTACTAAATAGAGGTTGTTTAATTATTTCACATAAAAATTTAAAAGAACTAATCATTCTATACATATCATCAGGTTTTTCATAAAAATTGAGAAATATTTTTGGTTGATCAAATGGATTAGAACTAGATAATTCCAAGTGACCGACGCTTGATGGGAGATTTAAAACTGATGCTAGTATAATCACTTCTAATTTTGGCACTGGTTTAGTATCTAACACATTCTGAGTGCATACTATAAAATTATAATTATGAATTAATTCTTCACATATTATTCAATTGTTTTTATCAAATTAACTTACTGTAAGTTTGAATGTCGGGACGTTCGTCAAGGAAATCTTTTTGACTAAGAGCTTTTCCTTCAGCATTTGCTTTAAAAAACATTCCAGGCCTAATTCCACAACACCAAGCATGAGATTGCAAAACATCATCTGTACTATTTTGAATAGAAACTTTGCCAGAAATGAAACAAAACGGATGGTCCTGTAGATTACGCCCAACCGGTAATTCTTTACGAACTTTAATATTATTAGCCTCCAAATTATTTTTTGGGCCGATTCCAGACAACATTAAAATCTTAAATATATCAAATATTTGTATGTATTTTTATATATACATATATGAAACAAACTTAGTCACAAATTATTTCAAAATATTTGAATTATTATCGATTCATACCTGAGCACTATTAATACTACCACCACAAAGAATCACTTCTCCTTTTGGAGCAATAAAAGAGTTATGAACTCCACCATTACAGAAATATTTAACGCCAATTGCTAAATTTTCATCTTTCTTTTCTTCATCCCAAATAATATTCAACATGTGGGCGAAGGATTTGACATTTACTGCGACGATCTTTGAAATCCCTTCACCTGATTCTATTGGTGGATAAATTTGAACCTTTTTCAATACATCTTTCAGATAACCGTCAGCCAACGAAAAGCGCTTTCCATCTTTCATTGTAGACTACATTAAATTATTATATGATTAATCAAGCGTCAATAGTTTTTCAGTGTTTAATATTGTTACCTGATATTTTACTATCCCATTTTGTCTGACCATTGAAATCATTATTATAAGGGACGCCAAGACTTCTTGTAGTTTTAATGAAATCCTTTAAAATATCACTAGGGTGAACACAACAATCTTGAACATGGAGTAGGCCATTAAATCCATGATACTTTTTAAATTCTTCGTCAGGATTTTCATGCGAATTGTTTTCGGTGGCCTTGAAAGCTTTTATTAAATAGATAGTTCAAGTTAAAATTAAAGTTTTTGGTAAAAATATATATATTAAAATTAATAGTACCTTTTAGACAATGATCGTAATCCCAAATTTTATACTCTGGACCTTGATCCGCCCAATTATCGTAATCGGCCTTTTGACCTCGTCTAAGATATATCATATTATGATATGATAAAAC